TTAAAATAAATAAATAAATAAGCATCTAAACTGCTATGATGGCTTGGATGTGGGGCAGGGTCCTGCATCAACCAACTCCAATAGTTGTCTTAGTCTAGGGAATTCTCATATCCAAAACCCACACCAAACCTATTGCCACCTGGTCAATTCTGACTTGGAGCAACCCTATTGGACAAAGGAGAACTATCCCACAGGTTTCTAAGGCTTTAATCTTTATGGAAGTAAAATGCAAAAACTTAAAATCTTAGCACAAGTTAAGAGGACATGATTAGAGGGGCATCCTAACTGTTTAATCTCAATCTTTTAAAAAAATACTATAGTAGGAAATAAGGAGCTCTGGTAGTGTACTGGTTACGAGTCATGCTGTAAACTTCAAGGCGAGCAGTTTGAAATACCAGCCATTTTGCAGGAGAAAGAGGATGCTTTCTGCTCCTGTAAAGCTGTACAGCCTCAGAAACCCTATGAGTCAGAACCGACTCCACGGTACACCACCACCACCATAGTAGGAAATAAATTTATATGATATATATTTTAACATAACAAACTAATATACTTCATATACAGCCATGGTGGCATAGTGGGTTAGGTGTTGGTCAGCAGTTCAAATCCATAAGCTGCTCTGCAGGAGAAAGATGAAGCTTTCTGCTCCCATATAATTTACAGACTCAGAAACCGTATACAGGATTGTTATGAGTCGGAACTTACTCAACAACAAACTCACTTCATTATTCCTCCTATGAGTAATTCTAAAATTTCACAAATGTTTGTATGCTACATGACTGTTATGTTTGTATGTTACATGATATAGAATACTAGGTATGTATGAAAAAAGTGATAGGATGTATTACAACTACATTGCCTCACCTCAAAATGGTGTGCTACTCCATGTTAATCACCCTATAAATTCCAAAACTTACTTTTAGTTTTCTCTTATCTATTTCAGCTTGCTCTTCCTGGTATAATTCTTGTCGCACTTGTTCCAAATCTTCACGTTGCCGCAACATTTCTTCTAATTTCTGAGTCATCTATGAAATAAAACACACACATACACATAAACATTCATAGGAACCAAATCCTACAACTAATATTTCAGAATTTCTCATTAAGTGATTATTTTAATACCATATCCTGAAGCTGTAGTCTTTTTTCCTCATACTTTTGTACTTTTGCCATCCGATCTTCTTCTCTTTGCTTTTGTATATTGGCAAACTCTGCAATTTTTCTGTTTTCTTCTTCCATCTCCTCACGTTTCTTTTGTCTCCAGAGAGCTTGCTCTTTCTGAAACTCTTCTATATACTTTCGAGTTGCATTCATTTTTTCTAACTTTTGTTGTTTTTCCCTGAAAACCAATAATGGGTATGTGTTGTTAAGTACCACTGAGTCAGTTCTGACTCATAGCAATTCTGTATAGGGTTTCCAAGAAGCGGCTGCTGAGTTTGAACCACTGACTTAATGGCTCAAACTGACCTTACAGTCCAGCACCTTATCCTGCAGCACCACACCAGGCCTCCATAATAATAGGTATGTTGTTGTTGTTAAGTGCTGCTGAGTTGATTCCGAATCATAGCAACCATGTATTGGATTTCCAAGGAGTAGCTGGTAAGTTTGGAACCGCCAACCTTGTAGTTCAAAGTGACCTGTAGTCCAGCACATTATCCTGCAGTGCCAAACCAGGACTCCAATAATGGATATAGTTTTATTAAAGAAAACAGAAATATTAACATAAATAAATAAAAAAGCGATTTCATTCTTCCTACAAGAATGCAGGCATAAGGGCTTCCATCTTTATAGTTTGTTCACTCATGAATGCAACAAGTATTTTGACACTGTATGGTAAGAGCCAAAGTGCTAACTGCAAGGTCAGCAGATCAAACCCACCAGCCGCCCTTTGGAAACCGTAAGTCAGAACTGACTTGATGTCACTTAAGAACAACACCTAGAACAGTGTCTGAGACGTGGTGTAAGTGCTTTATAAATGTTAGCTATTATTATTATATAACATGAGACCAACTCTTGTCATCTTTGCTAGCACATTGTCTATAATAAATGATTCTTTAGGGACTAAATTACTGAACCTTTGTTTTTCTTAAACAGGACCGTATCATATAGCAGAAGACATTCTTCCTAATGAATATCCTTGGCAGACAGCTTAAGTGTAGAGAGACACGAGGCTTATGTAGACATATCTTTCTGAAGAAACAGCAGTTGTTGTTAAGTGCCACTGAGTCAATTACAACTCACAGCAACCCTAAGTAGGTTTTCCGAGGTGTGGTTGTTGGCTTTGAACTGCTGACTTTGCTGTTAGCAGTCCAGTGCTTATTCTATAGTGCCACACCAGGACTCCTTGGGTAACTACCATGTGCCATGACATGTAATGCCAGGTATTGATTTTCTCTGAGTAAAATGCTGCTATGTCTCTGTCCCAATCTATGAATGACGCCTTATGCATCTCATTTCAGAAAGAGTGCCTACTTATAAGCCTTGCATCTTTCTGCCAAGGAAATTAATCAGAAAGCATGTCTTCTGGAACGTAGTAACATGGGCATAGTTAAGAAAACAAAGGTTCAGTCATTTAACCCCTAAAGAACCATTTATTATTAGACAACATGCTAGCAAAGATGGCAAGAATTGGTTTTATACTACGTAATAAATAGCTCACATTATGTCTCACACGCTCACACTGTGTCTCGGAAGCTTTTCTAGTGTCTTACATAATTTAATGTAAATATGTTTGGCCCTATAAGAAAGTTATGACAAACTTACAATTGATCCTCTTCATAGATTTTCCTCACAATTTCATCGATCATGAGTTTCTCCTTCAGGAGCTGCTCATAAGCTTCCTGCTTTTTTTTCTCTTGTTCTTCCAGTTGTTTCTCTAAGTCGTCATAGTATTGTGCTTTCACTTTGTGACGCCTGTCCTCTATAGCATTCTCTTCCTTGATTACCCGCTCATGCTCTTCCATCATGGTCCTAGCTATTTCGGCTTCACGACTCTGTGATTAAAACAAAAATTTATCTTTCCATTTTCAAATTTGAGCATAGCACAATAGAATATCTTAAGCAGACGCAATTCAGTGCTTTAAAGACTGTAACATCAACTACTTGTATCTGTCTAGGCAAAAAAGCAGAGCTAAGTTACTTTTGGATGATGAGTCACACCCTAAAAAGGCTTTTATATTCAATAACTCTCTCAGGACAATACGTGACAATGATAATAACTCCACATTTGAAAAATAATAAGTAAAATTAGAAGTACCTTCTTATTCAACTGCTACAGCATTGGTGCTAAGTGCCATCAAGTTGGTGCCGACTTATAGCAACCCAGTCAGTGTACGGAGCACAAACACTGCCAGGTCCTGTGCCAGCCTACAGCACTAGTCCTTCTTTTTGTTCTTTATAAATTACTCTGGGCAATTTTCTTCATTTTTAGCTCCATTATGTATCGGGTTCTATTTAAAGAGAAGATGGTTCTAACCTCTTTCCTATAGATCTGCTATTAAATGGCTACACCTCTTAAGTTTCTCCTGGTCTAAATGTTCTTTCCTGCCACAGGACCCTCTTTCTTACATATTAAAGACCTTTTTTGTAACCACTTTGACTTTAAAGGGGCTCCATGTGTCACTCTGCCTGTTTTCTGCAGTTTTTCATGCACTCAAGACCATCCCCTCAGAGTTAGGGACAATCTTGTGTCTTAGACAGGTTAAATCCCCTATTTCTTTTGAGCATCATCAAATCATTTAGATAAAACAAGTTTCAAGTTAAACTTACTGGGGCATTTTTTAAAAGTATCTTTGAGTTTACAATCATATCCCAAATGAGGAAAATGGTTATTATTGTTAAGTGCCGTCAGGTCAGTTCCGATCCTTAGCGATACTGTATAGGGTTTTCTGAGGAGCAGCTGGTGAGCTTGAACCGCCGACCGTGCAGTTCAAGCCAACTTTGTAGTCCAGCGCATTCACCCACAGTACCACACCAGTACTCCACAGAAAATAGAAGCTTCAAACACAAAAGAAGAAACACATCAAACTGCAAATGTTAAAATGTCTTTCATAAGATCACTGATACCTTTTTCATATACCACTAAAATGACTTGATTTAAACACTTTCTTTTTAGGTGCTGACTTTGTATATGTTCTACTAAGTTCTTTTTCTAAAAATATAAGAAATGACAAAAATTCCATGCCCAGATTACCTACCACACACTTATAGAAATACATGTTCTAACTCCATAGATAAGAAAATAAAAACTACAAACCCATCTGCTGGCAGGTGGCCTGTGTTGGCGACTGCAGGCTATTGGACAACTATGACCCTTATGGAGTTGAAGAGCCCAGTCATGAGGAGCTGGCTCTGAGCAGCTCTGAAGATGAAGTGGATGCGCTTTTACAATGAACTCCTGACCAAAAACGTAAGCTCATCAGAGAATGTCTTACTGGAGAAAGTGAATCATCGAGTGAAGATGAATTTGAAAAAGGAATGGAAGCAGAATTAAATTCCACCATAAAAACAATGGAGAACAAGTTATCCTCTCTGGAAATAGTAGCGTCTTCCTTAGGAAATGGGATCCTTGGAACAGCTACAACAAAGTACTATGATGATATTTATTTTGATTCTGATTCTGAGGATGAAGACAAAGCAGCACAGGCAACCAAGAAAACAAAGAAGAAACGACATTGGATTCCAATAAATGATGAATTAGTCTGTGATGCTGGAAAGGATGACAGAGATCAGACCTGGGTAGATGCAAAGAGAAGGTGCTGCCATAGTTTTGGAATATAGCAGTAACGTCAACAGCAGCCTGCTCCTAATTAGTGATGCTGTTTTGAATTGCCCAGCCTGCATGACCACTCTGTGCCTTGATTGTCAAAGGCATGAATCATACAAAACTCAATACAGAGCAATGTTTGTGATGAATTGTGCTGTCAACAAAGGGAAATTCTAAGATACAAAACCTCAGAGAGCAGGAAGAAAAGGTGAGGCCGTAAGAAGATGAGGTCCAACCATGAAGATGCTACGAAGCAGGTTGAGACAGAAGTGCAAGAAATCTACCACCCAGTCATGTGCACCGAGTGTTCCACTGAAGTGGCAGTCTATGACAGAGATGAAGTCTTTCATGTTTTCAATGTTTTAGCAAGCCATTCCTAAATAATGCAGTTGGCATTTAATTGCCCAGAATTGTGTATCAGGTAAGTATGGAGAGTTATTTTTTTCCTGCCTACTCAAATCATTTAAGTGACATTGTGAAGTGTCGAGGAAGCAGTGTTTCATCTTTATGAAAGATAATGGTTATTTACCTTCATTCTCCACCTTTAAAAAAAAAAAAAATTCTCCAACAGTCATGGGACTGATTATTCATTCCCCTTTTGATGGTCATTTGGAAACACTGGGCTTTTATTTATTAAAGCTCTTTAGAATTAAAAAAAAGAAGAGAAACTCAGAAAAACAGGGTCAAAAACTAGCACCCAAGTATTATGATAGTCAAATCCCAGGTGTGTCTGACTTCTATTATTTGTGCATCAATTTTATTTAGAAAATTGTAGCAATTCTCTCAGGAGACAAGTTGAAATGCTTACAGCTGCTTGAATAAGCTATTGTCAGGATAATTAAAACTGTAAAACACAGGTCAAAGAATACATCTTTAGTTTTCTGCTTTCTTTTGTGTAGGGTAGAACTCTATGGTGTAGGAAATGAAGTCTCCCCACCATCTCCTACTACCTACCAAAGCACTCTGTTTAACCCTCTACAGACTTTTTCCTATACTAATACAAACGAATACTCACATCACACACACACATCCGTATCAGTTATGGCCAGCATCCATTCTTATTTGGTGCCCATTCTGACTGCACTAAAAGAGTAAGCACTGGACTGCTAACTGCAAGGTTGGCAGCTTAAACCCACCAGATGCTCCTGGGGAGTTGGATGAGACTTTCTGCTCCCACAAAGATTTACAGCCTCAGAAATCCTATACAGAGTTGCTCTGAGTCAAAACTGACTCGATGGCACCTAACAACAACAATTGCACTACAAAAGTTAGTATTTTTACATCACTCTTTACAATGCAGTGAATTACCTAATATCCAAAGTCTTTTGTAACTCCCACCAAACAACTTTTTCCTGCCGGGTCTGAGTAAGAGACGGTGTTGAAAGATCCTGATAGGATTCTATGATTCTGTTGTGTGACTGTTAACAAGGCTAATTGTGATTATACAAAGTTGGAACTCTTGCTGTTATTAAGTACCATCGAGTCGGTTCCAACTCAAAGCGACCCTGTATAGTGTTTCCGAGG